ATTTTTAAGTGTCCATACCACAGAATTGAAGAACTTGGAAATGGGACAGGCACTGTGCAGAATTTCTGAGTGGGACAGAGTGCCTGTGCCATTTCCAAGTTCTTCAATTAAATGTTGCATTCATACATAAGCATTGACATACAGCCAGGAGGGCAGGTATCCTACCAGTTTTCATATGATGCAGAAGTTTTATACATGAGTTTCTCCCGTTTTGACAAGTTTCATGGTTTGCCCACACGGGAGTTTCTGAATTGTCTATATTATATACTAATTAAGTATTTGGACCCTAAATTACTGTTGGTTTGTTCTTTATTGAGCCAGAAAGATATAATAACAACTTGAGTGAAGGCAATGCAGCAACAGAGGCATTAGCCATTTCTAGTGTTGTATAGAAGTACAAACTTAGGGGTGTGTCTGTTGATCTAGTCCTGGTACATAAAATTTAGCCTTACAAAAAAATTACATAGTTTTGTAAAGTGTTACCATAAAAAGTAGAGGTAATTTAAAGAGAGTGTGTTTGTAAATTATAGGGTGTTTTTTTGGAGAAGTAAAATGCTTATTGAACACCTATTGACGTTGATGACATCTGTTATCCTGTGGGAGGCAGCATGCTGTAGTATGGTGATCCATCAGAGAGCGAGCTAGAAATGGTTTGACAGAAATAATGTCAGATTTCCCAGTGATGACTTTTTGCGAAGCAGAGCAGTTATTATTACAGTAACATCACTCCTGCTCATTTAGTTCTTATGTATACTTTTTCTTGTTCTCCAGTCTCTCAAAGGATAGAACAGTGTGTTGGGGGGAGGATACTTGGTTTAGAATCTTTGATCACTTTTCCACCAGGCCTTCAAATTCAAGCCATACTTAGTTCATCTCCACCTCTCCCCAAGTCTATCCAGCCTGTACTCATCTGTAGTCGCTGACTTTCTCAGGTGTTAGGATGATACAGGCCTGAAAAGTAGTGGGCCCACTCCACGCCCAAGCTCTGCACTAACAGATGTTTTCACATTCATTCACCTCATCCCTGAGCTTTAAGGCCCAGGTTTATTTCCTACTGACTCATTTCTTGGGGATATATTTCTTGATGTAGAACTGGCATATCAGAGGACTGAACAGGTTATAGATCTAGTGGACATTGCCCAAGTGCTCTTCAGGAAGCTCAAGATAATTAAAAAGGCTGTAAATGATGGTTAAGTAGGCCCTGTTTCCCATATTCCTGGAAGTGTTAGGGCCCTACTACTTTGTGGTACTGAATTAGAAATATGTTTTATAATGTCTCTAGTGCATGTATTTGTATCACTTCTTTATATATTGAAAAGTAATTTGAATTGACATTGGTTGAGTTTTTTTGTGTTTTTGTTTTTTAAAAGAGGTATTTTTTTATTATAGGTGCTCATGCGCTTGCAGGAGAGACAGACAGAAAGTGAGAAATCACCCCCCATGGGGACAGACATGCCGCAATCCCTTCTTCTCCATTCTCCTTTTGGGATTTGGTACACACACACACACACCTGGCGTGTGTTTTAGACTGCTGGGTTCAGAACTCGAACTGCAGTTGACTTCATGGGAGTCTAGTGACACTGCTGGTCCCCCATCTTTTTGTTGTTGTTGTTATTTTTTAATGATTTCACGCTATTGAGCAGATTTTTATTTGAGCACATGTCTTTTACATGTCTTTTTTTTTTTTTTTTGAGAGGTTTTCACTATAGGGTGCGTGCACTCACCAGACAGACAGAGACAGAGAGATAGAAAGTGAGAAATCACCCCCCAGCAGGGATGGCCATGCCACAATCCCTTCTCCTCCATTCTCCTCTCAGGATCTTGGGCACGCACGCACATGCGCCCGGCATGAGTTTAAGCCACCGGGTCTGGGACTCGAATCGCGGTCGACAACGTGGGAGTCCAGCGACATAGCCTTTATGCTAACTGCTGGTCCCAAGCACATGTCTTTTAAAGCTTATTTCTTACATGAACTAGAGAGAGGGAGAGAGTGCACACCCCCACAGGATACAGAAACCATGATCCACCCTCAGACTTCAGCCAGACTGGATCACGGGCAAGTACATGCCCAGTGTACTCCGGGAGATCTCTGAACTTGAACCAAGAACATTCCCATGTGAGATTGATTGTCTTGCATTGTGTCATATTTTTCTGTCATGTGCTGGCCCCCTGAACACATCTGTTTTATTGTTGATAATACTGCTTTTATTAGGTGGGATTTTTTTTAAACTTCTTTCTTCATTTCAGGATTTGTGGCAGTTTGTGAAGATCAACGATGTTAGCTTTTGGAGATTTCATAATTTGAAATTGATGTAAAGGAGATAAACTCGTGCTAACCGAATTTACCTATAACTGACTCCACTATATGCTTTTCCTGTCCGGATTGAGATTACCTACCATTTCTCTGGAATTTATGGCTTTCTTGTGGCAAATAACTGTTCCTTTAAAAACTCACCCTTGTAGAGACTCTTAGAAGCATCATTAACTAACTGAACTTTCTTTTTTCTGATTTAGCCAGTATTTCTCTGCCCTCTTTTCCTCCTGTTGTGTCTAGCACCACACCTGCAGTCCAGTTTGTTATTTCCTTGGACACCACACTCTTTGCAGACAGCAGTAACCTGGTAGAGATGTGTCTCTAGGGGAGAATCCACAGAATGTCATGGTCCTTATTATAGGAACCACCTGTAACTGATAAAGGGGAAAAATAGTAAATCGAGGGACCAGCAGTTGGCATAATTGCTATGTCACTGGACTCCCATGTAGTTGACTACGGTCCAAGTCCCAGACCCAGTGGCGTAAACTCATGCCAGGTGCGTATGCGTGCGTGCCCAAGATCCCAGGAGGAGAAGGGATTGTGGCATGGCCATCCCCCTGGTGGGGGGTGGGAGGTGATTTTTCGCTTTCTGTCTCTCTGTCTCTCTCTGTCTTTCTGGCGAGTGCACACGCCCTATAGCAAAAATCTCTCCAAAAAAATAATAAATAAATAAAATAGTAAAGTCGAAAGACTTTATAATGATAAACTTGTAATTTTGGTCCCAAGGATGATTGCATTACAAGTCTGTTTTCTTTTTTTTTTTCTGTTTGCATAACATGCAATAGACTTAGAAGTGAGTCCATTTCACTTTAATCTTTTTCTTCTTACCGTAAATTGACAAATTATGGTTGTATATTTTCAAAGCGATGTTACAATTTATGAACGCAATGCAGAATAATTAAATCAAGTCAGTTAACATATTCACTACATGAAATACTTATCTCGCTTTAATCCTAAAGCTCTACTTAATGCCTACATACCACATTCATTTGGATATGAGAAATAATTACGAAATTTAAAGGCAGCTGTGTGACTCTGGGATGGTTTCTGAGTGAGTGAAGTCTGTAGCTATGTGGGATATCCAGAAAATAAAAGTAATCAGTAAATGTAAGGCTGTGACTATATCCATGCTAGAAATGGAAGCTGACATTCTGAGATCCCTCCTTCCTTTGTATACGAGGAAGGTGAGATGAGAGCTCACACCTGAGAGAGTGCTCCTGGTTAATGTTGCAAGCTGCCCAAATTCTGCGTTTCCTACATTAGAATTCTTTCAGTGCCCTGAGCAGACCTGGTGCACTTCCAGACTTTTAAAGCCTATTGTTGGACACTTCTTATGAGAAGAATATCAGTGTCATCAAGGACACTATGATCCGCATGAGGGTGGAGGCTTAAATACTGTACAAAATAACATCAGTCATTTAAAAGAATCAAATGAAATATTGGAATGGATTTTTCCCCGTGTGTGTGTATGTGTGAGTGTGTGCATGCACGTGCATGCACAATAAAAAGGTTCTCATCATGTCTCAGTTCTCCTATTCTTCTTAGCAGTTGTCAGGGATGCATACCACCACATTTTCTAGGGTGGGCTGACAAATGAATCCAGGCTTCACAGGCAGTCCCAGCCCTCCAAACAGCAGTGCCTAACACACACTACTGTGGCTGGTCTTGGAGTGGAATTTCATCTATCAAGTAATACATGTACAGAGTTTAAAACAAATTACGTAGAGCTTATGATAAAGCATATATGACTTGCAGCAACTCATTTCTCACTCCTAAGAAATGACTATTTTCTGGTTAACCCCATAGCTAGTGGTTTAAGGGAGTTAGATTTCACTTGGTTGATTATGGTTCTAATCCCAGCCCTGGACACTTGAAAATCACTGTGGGCATGTGCATGTGTGTGCCCAATGTCCTGAAAAAATGGAGAGATGGAGAAGGTATTGCGTCATGGCCACACCCCATGGTGGGGGTGCTTTCTCCTCCCTCCTCCCCTCTGGTTAGCACATACATATTCTGGCATTAGAAAGAGAAAGAACAAACTACTTTGAACTATTAGCTCTCTTTGTTATTTTCTATATTTGAGTTTCTCAATTTATCAATTACAGATATCATTTATTTTCCTCCAGAAGGTATGAGGGCTTACCTTATTTCTACCCCTTCTCCCTGTTTCTTTCAGTATAGTCATGTCATTATTTTTGGTTCCTCTTTTAACCACCTTTGTAATATACCAGCATCTTTTATAACTTACAAAGACAGTACCTTGGGGCCAGTAGGTGAAATGGTGGTTAAGGTGCTGGACTCCCACATGGTTGACCACAATTCAAGTCCTGGGCCTGGCGGCTTGCTTTCTCACTGTGTGTGTGTGTGTATGTGTCTGTGTTTGTCATCTGTCTGTCTGGTGAGCACATGATTCCAATAGCAAATTTAACAAATAATAATTCTTATTTTAAAAAAAGCAAAGACAGTATCTTTTTTATTCCATCTTATTTGGAACAGTAAGGTAAGTAAGGGCATGGGATAGGGTTAGATCTATACTTAGGACTCTAAGGGTTGTTGGATGTACGCATTCTATGGAAGTAAACCTCTATCTCATGGTTTACATGTGTGTTACAGATAATCGGGAGACCTAAAATATTTTATTTTGCTTTCTTTTTTAATCATAATATTTACTTGTTTTGTTTTACAGAAATAAACATCTTCCTGCAATAGATGAAAATGAAAATACAGAAGAAAGAAAAGCAGGTAAGTGATCACATTTGTTTTAAGTGAATGCATCCAGTATACCTTGGTGCTCTTTTAATAAGAGGAGACACTGGCAGTGTAGGCTTATCTCTTAACTTCTGGTGGTTCCATGTGGTTTTCTGCTTCCATTCTCCATGTGTTAATCGAGATCTCTGTTCTAAATGATGTAATATATGGATTTTTCCATTTGCTCAGCCCATCCCCATATGGGGTAAATGTAAGAAAGGTATAGATCCAAATATTATTCAAAGTTAGCTACTTAGAAAATAAGTTCCCTTGAAACAGCCTTCCTAGTTTTGCTTTAATTTTTTCCTTAGAGAGATTTTCGTTATAGGTTGCATGCACTTGCCAGAGAGACAGAAAGGAAGAAATTACCTCCTATGGGAAATGGCCACACCACAATCTTTCACATCTATTCTCTTCTTAAGATTTTGGCCTACACACACATGCGCCTGGTGTAAGTTTTAAGCCATTGGGTCCAGATCTCGAACCACAGTTGACTACGAGGGAGTTCAGCAACATAAACATTACGCCCTCTGCTGGTCCCTCCAAGTTTTTCTTAAAAACACACACACACACACACACACACAATTCTTTTTAGTTTATATAATTATCATTTTGGATTTGGGGTGATTAAACTAAATGCATTCTTATTTATAAAATTTGGAGGGTTCCTTCTAGAGAGAATACTGAACTAAAGTGAAGAATGTGAGCATCATCAACTTGCGTTTGGTTTCTTGAAGGGGAAGGGGAGTTGATAACATAATTTGGCCTGTGTGACTCATCCTGCCAGGATCTCTTTGTCTAGTTGATACTTCTGTGCCCCAGATGGTTATATATTCAGAGGAACTCTACGACCTCAGTCAGCATGGGTTGGGAGAGGTAAGATGGAGAGACTTGCCTCTGTCTTATGGAAACGGGCTATCTTTGATGGACTGGTTTTCCTTTCATAGAATTGAATGACAACCTGGTAACTAGGGGGTCTTTTTGCTAGGACCTTGTGCAAAGTGATTCAATAGGATTAGCCACTCCTTTCCTCTCAGTCTGCTCTAGGGAGATACAGGATGACTTAGGTATATAGTTATAACGACTACATTCTGGCTTGTCCACAGTGGATAGGTCAGTTTGGGAAAACATTGATTCTTATGCTACCAGTTTTTTTTTTTTTTTAATTATTTATTTGATTTTATTTACTCATTCATTTTAGTTTGATGAGAGAGAAGGAGGAAAAGTGAGAAAGCAAGCCACCAGGTCTGAGACTTGAACCATAATCGGCCATGTGGGAGTGTCCAGCACCTTAACCACTATGCCACCTGCTGGTCCCACCAGTGTTTTTTTGTTTTTTTTTTAAGAATTATTTTATTTAGCTTCATTTATTACTATTATTATTATTTTAATTTGATCACAGAGAGAGAGAGGGAAAGTGAGAAAGCAAGCCGCCAAACTGTGATCAGCCATGTGGGAGTCCAGTGCTTTAAACCACCGTGCCACCTGCCAGCCCTGCTACCAGTTCTTAATAGGAAGAGAAATGACCAAGAAATTAAGAAATCTAGAAATCAAATACAGTAGATTTCTGTCTGTCCTAGCTCTGTAGAGTTGTTAGCTTGTAGGCAAACACTACAGAGAATGCAGTTCCATCTGCCAGGAACTTATCTTGTGGATATGCTGAGACAGGTGTGCAAAACTTGGGTATAAGTGTTTTCATTGCTACTTCACTTATGTCCGCAAAAAATGGAAAAGAATATATACATTAATCAAAAATAACATATTTAGGTCCCACCATGGTAGTAGGTACTGGTAGATGATACTATCTAGCTGGCTGAGTCCATATAGGAGGCGTGGATTGGATTCCTAGACCACCCTAAAAGCTGGGTGTGGTGGCATGAGCCTATAGTTCCAGCTACTAGGAAGGCTAAAGCAGGAGTATCATAATATAATAAGACCCTGTCTTAAAAATAGATGCATGGAATATCATAACACATCTACTTAGTAGAATATTATGCTGTTGTTAAAAGGAACATATTCCTGAAGAGAACCCCAGATTCTCAAAGGTGTTGTCATTATGACATGCATTGATAGGTTTATATTTCTTAAAGCAATCTGTATATTTAACTTTTAAAACATTCTTTGTGGTAAACTTTTATTTAAATCAAAACATTCTGTAGTAGTTACCCCAAAATGAATTCTAATTTCTTTCTTTTGATATTTTATTGGTTCATATGAAGACCTTTGATATGTTGCAGTTTAGACCTCTTAGTAATGTTAATGAACAGAATAGTATTTTTTGGTTTACAAGTAAATATGAGATATGGTAGAGGAGCAGGTTAAATAAATGGAGTGACTTTCAGGAAGAGCTGGTCCTGCTCCTGATCTAGTTACCAGTTTCAGAATTGCAAGAAGTTAAAGAACATTAAAGTAGGTAATTGCGTTAAAATTGAAGCACTCTACAGGCTCCAGAACTGAGCCTGTGTGAAAGAGGCCTGTGTTCTGGAATGAACTTGGACTTTGACTTCAAAGAACAAGATTGAAATTCAGACTCTACCACTTAGTTGTCCAACTTTGGGTGAGTTCAGCCACATTTTTCTCTCACATAAATGGGAGCAATTATTTAAGCCTTATGCCATAGACAACGATTAACGTAATTTGTCAAGTACGTGTATTGTTTGTCAGTAATGAGGAAATCTTTCAGATTAGCAATACAGATAACCATCAAACTTTGTCTTTTCTCTTAACCATAATTCTAAAGTATTAGAAGTAGCATCAAATAAAGCATCTCTTTAAAAACCCTCATTCTATCACAGGTTGAATATCCCTTACCTGAAATGCTTGGGACCAGAAGTGTTCCAGATTCTGGATATTTTGCAGATTTGGGAAGTACCTGTGTATCCATAAGATGTCTTAGGAATGAGACCAAGACTAACCAGGAAATTCAGTTATGTTTCATATACCCTGTATACACATAACCTGAAGGTGATTTTATACAGTATTTTCATATTGTAGTGTTCTGACTATGATCTAATGTGAGGCCAGCTATGGAATGTTCCACAGGTGTTATGTTACTGCTCAAAAGTTTCTGAGATGACAGATTTTACAAGTTAATCAAAACTTAGTAATTAAGTAATTATACCTCTTAATAACAAGAAAGGACACAAGAGTAGTGTGCTAAAAGAACAAGGGTTTAGAGATTGGCTTTGTATGGCCTAAAAAAGTGTTGAAGAAAATTAGAAAATAGATTTTAATGAAATATTTTAAAATAGATCACTCAGTTGAGTTTATAATCTTTTATCTATATTAAAAGCACATGATCTTTTATCTGTATTAAATAGTGAAATTACTTCTTAAGAAATATGTATGTTTTAATTCATAAGATGATTAATTTGCATTAGGCAGAAAAAAATGAGCTAGAGTAATAAAATGTGAACTTGAAACATTGAAAACCTGTGTATCACTACAGTATTGATGTATAAATATGCTGAAAATACTTCTTTGTAAGGAGATACAGCCTAACATTAGTAATGACAAACCTATGATAATAGGAATATTGATTTTCATTCATCTCAACTCTTTGCTTAGTACTGACAGAAGTTTAAAACATAAGAATTATGTGATATATAATCTGACCTGGAGGCATTTGTATCTTAAGGGTTAAGAGAGTTTTTGTTGCATACGTCCAGTGTAGAAGAGAGTTAACAAAACAATGAATGAAATAAAAATAAGTAATATTATAAATAGAATTAAATGTTAAGCCACCTGCAGCAACTACCTTTCTAACTCCATGACCCAGAATTGGGTAAGCAAAGCCTTTCATTCTTAAGTCCTCTAGAAAACACAAAGGTGGATGGGAATAGTTTATTTCAGATATGCCATGAGAATCACAAAGTCTTCAGATTACGGGACCTTATTTTTTTTCCCTAAAATGAATATGGATATAATTTGTTCTCTGAACAAGTATTTCTTAAATTTTTCAGCATTTATTCATCCAAGAAATAATTCGAGTTCTACTTGAGGCCAGGCTTAGCAGTGACTCAGAAATGCTTTTTCTTCAGAAACATAGAGTTTAGCCAAAAGTAGGCAGTTAAAATACTGGACTGGGGAGAAATGTTCACATATTGAAATGTTCACATTGTAAGCTAAATAATGTGAATGTATATAAAAAATTAAAATAAATAAATAAAAAATAGAGGATGGCATGTGCCTCAGAAGAGCCATTGTTTTACATTGTGGGTGGGAGAATGATTCTCTTAATGAGGCAGTATGGGGGCATAGGGAGTATCAGCCCAATGAAAGAATTAGAGGGTGCTTTAGATGGAGTTGTGTCTTCTCGAGAGAGCCAGGTTTCAGGCAGTTTGCTTCAGAGAGTAATGTATGGGTGGATTTGGAAAGATGAAGGACATAAGGTAACAGAAAAATATAGGCTGGAATAGGGTGCTAGATTTTTGAGTCATAACCAAAGGTGAACTAGGACTAAGAGGCATGGTTTCCCAAACTTCTGTTTGGAAAAGAATTGGTATCAGTTGTCCTTTACTGGGACAAAGTGAGTAACTCAGATCCCTAAGAAGACATTTACCACCAATAGGGATCATCAAGTTGTGATCAACAATGCAGAATAGAGGAAGAACAGCAATGTTGATAATATGGATAACGGAATAATTCATTTCTAGTTACACTTTAAGTCTGGTGGTCATTGGAAGGCCATTTCAACATATGTAAAGAGGAACAGTTAGTAAATTGTCCCGTAGGGTCAAGTTTTAAAACACCCTGACATCATATTTCATAAGGACTTGAAATGAACCTTGCCCAATCCAACTCCTCCCTTCTCCAAAAAGAAGAGGAATCAGCATTAAGTGCTTTTTCCCCCATCTTTTTAAAGCCAGAGTCTCTCAATGTCATGATCCTCTGCCTCAGCCTCCTAAATAGCTGAGACTGCAGGCATGCTCAGTCATGCATGTCTTTTAGGGTGGACCAGGAATTGAACCCTATCCTCCTATGTGACCTCATCC